GCTTAATGTTTGTCTACAGTGTCTGTTTGTTTCCCCTAAACACAAACAACCTTGGCATTGTCCTCAGCCAGGCTTAATGAGGTGCACAGTTAGTCACAGGCTTCTATAAAAAGTGAATAGAACAAAAACATTGAACTCGTGCGTGTCATTTGTCAGGCAGCATCAAGCAAACAGGGTGGACAAGTTAGGCTGCTGCAGTTCATGTGAAACACACACACGTACCCACCAGCTAGCTGAGGTAGTAACCAGGCCTCACGGACAACATCCACACAGGCACAGGGATATTCATGGAACTTTGTTTCCAGTGACAATTGAGTTTCAAGGGGTTATAATTAGGTGTGATGTAAGCCGAAAGGCAATCATTTACCTTTTGAAAAAAATTCTCATTCGTGTGATCGGCTGATCAAAATGAAAAGGTACTCTTGTAAGAGACTGACTTCAGAGTGAGTTGAGTCCGGTTTAACGCCGCTTTGAACAGTATTCCAGTTATATCACGGCGTGTCAGCTTAATGTGGGAGGAAAGCCCGAAGTGGACTTGAAGCAGTCAATATAATTGATCTGTCTGTGAATGATCAACATCAGGGAAGGTGGGCGGGCGGGGGAAGGTGAGTGAGTGAGTGAGTGAGTGAGTGAGTGAGTGAGTGAGTGAGTGAGTGAGTGGGTGGGTGGTTGGTTTGGTGAGTGAGTGGGTGGGTGGTTGGTTTGGTGAGTGAGTGCGTGAGTGAGTGAGTGAGTGAGTGAGTGAGTGAGTGAGTGGGTGGGTGGTTGGTTTGGTGGGTGAGTGAGTGAGTGAGTGAGTGAGTGAGTGAGTGAGTGAGTGAGTGAGTATGTTGCTAATAACCCTACAACATATTGAGCCAGGACATGGTGTTATAGTTGATAGATGCTTTCAGTCAGGGAATAATAATGAAATGCAGACACCTGGATAATGAAGGGATTTTGATAAATTCATTTTCGAGGACACTGACTGATTGTTATCCTAAACGTCCTACGATTTAATAAAACATTTCTTACTAATACAAAAGATGACTATAAAACTTGAAACAATCATGAAACTGTTCTAGAACCATTTGTCTCCAGGAAAATCACTGATAATGGGATCTGTTCTGCCACACACTCTCCATGAGGGTAACAGAATAGTATTGATAAATACTACTGAAAAGAAGTCAGACAACACCCAATTCTTTCGTTCATATTACTATAGTAATCTGTCATTAACTATAATAATATGAAAGAATCAGGGGTTCTTTAACTTCTTTTGAGTAGTATATACCATAAGTTTCATATGTCAGGCTACCACACAACACTTCTAGAGAAGAGTGAGTGAGTGAGTATGGTTTTACGCCGCTTTTAGCAATATTCAAGCAATATCACGGCGGGGGACACCAGAAATGGGCTTCACACTTTGTACCCATGTTGGGAATCGAGCCCGGTCTAAGATGTGACGAGCGAACGCTTTAACCACTAGGCTACCCAACCGCCCCCCATAGAGAAGAAAGTTAATCAGGCAACAAGATACCTAAGCCCTTCCTATTATATATTAATAACCACAGACAGAAAGAGCTTCAATTAGCATTGCAGCAAGACCACGTCAGGGGATGCCATGCAGGAATAGGCTCTGCCTACTGTACCCACGGGAGGAGTCAAAAGCAGGTCTTCAGCATGCCGAGATAATGTTGTAACGACTAGACTACGCAATCTGCCGCCCCCTTTCTTCCATAAACAACTAGCCTAGAGACCTACATTTAACCACATATATCAATGTGTGATATTTTTAACCTACACCTACAAACGGCAACCATATTGACTGATGATAAATTTCTAAGTGCATGTATCCCCTGAATAGTTCCTATACTGACACACCAACAGAAAGAAGATCTTCCATGATAACGTCCTCTGGGGGTGTACACTGTCAGACTAAAATAGCCTTTATCTGATTAGATGATGAGAGGTTGTTTTCAGAAAAGTCATGTATCATAGGAAGTGATGTGTTATCCAATCTGTCAAACTTTACTGGTCTTTCCCAATACATTAATATTCTTAGAATCTATCATGTGCAAGCTCCCAACCTAGCCGATACGCCAATCTCTGACCAACCATTACTTCCATCTAACCCCAATTCATGAAAAATTATATCATCCAAAACACTTACCATGAAACAATATAAATAAAAGACATGATCAATTATTTCCGTTAAACCTCCACTGACTGCTTGTTGAAGCTTGTATCCAGATACAAATAAAGTGTATATGATCATTGTTTGTGTCTTGATACCAAGAAGCCTGATAAGAGTGCAAGTATCTACATGGAACAACTTGAAAATAAACTTACATCTCGTATATATCTTGTTCAACATTGAAATGATTAAACCAAAACTGATGATCATACTTCATTCATGAAAGTACAAATGGTAAAAACGTGATAAACCTTTTGTGGTTATTTTCACCTATCTCAAAATGGCAGGAAAGAAAAGACTGCAGCTTGTCTCCGATCTCAATCTTGCGTCATCAAAACAAACTCAACACGAAAAAAAAAAGAAATCCGAAACTTCAATACTCACACTGACCAAATAAAAATGATCAAAAGTAATCAAAATGTCCACGAATGAAATCTGCTGATTTCCCTGTTCCGCTCTGGTAAATAAGGCCACAAGAAAATATATTCCGTAATATCCCAGGTGAAAATATAACCTCTCCAGCTAAGGAAGCTGCTGCACGCAAACTAAACAACCACATCATGTTAGCTTTGCCTCTCGGCTGTGTTTGCTTGTCACCGAATGGAGACAAACGCAGCCAGTATCACGTAGCCCAGACTCGGTGTCCGTCAGACAGGGTCGAGAGATAGATGCCAGGACTCCTCGCGGCACACTTCACACCAGCTCACATCTGGTCTTGACCTCTAAAAGGTCAGCAGTGTTCCGCCTGCTGGCAACAAGTCGGTGAGACAGGCATGTAGATGTTTACAGCTCTGAGTGGAGACTATCACTGTCATAGTCTGAGTGGAGACTATCACTGTCATAGCAAAAAGACCAGGTTTTCTTGTACTTACATAAATGAGAATATTTTTGTGAATGATTTGAATGTTATTTTTGTACCTATTTCTTTCTCAGGGATTTCTCATTTTCAGTTGAAAAAAATCAATTGAACGGATGAAATATCGAAAAAATAGTTTTTCCACTATGGATAAATTTATGTCTTGGGTGCCCCTATTTTGTCACGTCTTGCCAACATGAGATATACAAAGTTGGTTGGTTTGTTGTTTAACGCCGCACACAGCAATATTCTGGCTACATGACGGCGGTCTGTAAATAAGAGTCTGGACCAGACAATCCAGTGATTAATATCATGAGCATCAATCCACGCAACTGGGATTGATGACATGCATCAACCACCCGATTCCGTTAGTCGCCTTTTACAACAAGCATAGTTGCCTTTTACAGCAAGCATGGGTCTTTGAAGACCTATTCCAACCCGGATCTTCACAGGTCAGATAGACAAAGGGTTGGGCCTACTTGCACAAGTGACTACATTGCTGTGACTATTTAAAGTCTATGTTAAATTCTTTTAAATCAGTTTATAAACCTTATTCTATCATTCAAGCAACAGAATACAAACTCTATGTAATACAGATGAATCTGTTCTCAACAAAATGAAGGATTTTTTTCTTTGATCTGCACTGAATGTCAATTTTAAACATGACAGAATAAAACGCCTCAAGACATACTTCAGAAAAATAGATGAAAACAAAAATTGCATCCTAGAAGTCACCATTGGACAAAATCCAGATTTGTTAAAGGGAGATAACTTCTCAGTGCTCCGGCTATCATAATGCAACAATACGTTGACATGTATCTGAGATCTTCACTACTGTTAGCTAAGAAAGGATTTCAAATGTCTTTGTTGCTATTAAATCACATCCAATGCCTTTCTTATTTTCAAATGTTATTAGGTCTAGACTATGCACATCAACTGATCACTTCCCCTTTGCAAAATCTCTAGTGTAATCATTGTGACCATTATCCAATTACGTCTAGACTAAAAGTCGAGATCATTTCTCCTATGAATTTAATGCATTTCATGTTTCAGTTTCAACATACATTTTATAGTTTTAGATCACAGCAGTGATAGTCCTACTGATCAGAGCTGTGCCTGGGGCGGAACTGTGTCGACAGGCTTTCTTCTGTGAGTTATCTTGTAGTAGAACTAAAACAGCAGATCGAGTGTCAATCACCGTTGTTTGAATTTGATGGGCTCAGAGTGAATGGGTGGGTGATATGTTTGTTTGTTTGTTGTTTGACGATGCATTGGCAATATTCCAGCTATATGATGGCAGTCTGTAAATAATGGAGTCTGGACCAGACAATCCAGTGATTGACATCATGACCATTGATCCAATGGGATACGATGACATGCATCAACCAAGTCACTGAATCTGACCACCCGAAATGGGCTTCACACATTGTACCCATGTCGGGAATCGAACCCGGGTCTTCAGCGTGACGAGCGAACGCTGTAACCACTAGGCTATCTGACCACCCCAGGGGGTTAGAAATTAACACAGCCCACAGGTTAGCCCAAGGGTCCCAATTTCCCCATTGTTTTAACATGACATCAGTTATCATTACCCAGGCTAGGAAAACTTGTCAGTTTAGCTCTAATGCTGAAAAGTGAACTTGATTCTAATGTTTGCTATGCGAACTTGATGTGCAAGACACTAATTTGTTTACAACTTCGACAAAAATATAAACAAAATACTGCTTCAACTTTACAAGCTTCTAGCACTTTTAGAAAACATAATTCAGTTTGTGCCAAAATCTGTTTTAAGTCTTCTAGCCCGAACCTTTTATTTGACATCATTTTCAGTAGATCCTTGTGTTAATGCAAAGCTTTCATACCGATATGTTTTTTACTAGACTTGGGCTATGGACTAGTGGTTAAAGTCACAGAATGATAACTTCAATATTTCCAAATGTTTAAACTATATTGTTTTGGTATACTTACTTTCAAACCTGCGTCATAGTTGTTAATGACTTTGAACATCAACCCAAGACGGATATGGACTTCGTTCGCTCTCTTAAACCCTGGATCAATATACAGCACCTGCTGGAACGCCTTCACAGCCCTGCAATACACAAACACACACAATTAAACATATAGTAACATAATATAATAAAAATAACAAAGTCAGACCATCACATTCAGACGGTTTCAACCAATGTTTTTATGACCGGAAATTTGTACATAAATTTACAAGTTTATTTGTCAAGGACCAGATGGGTTAATTTGTACATGCACATAAAGGCTAATTTGTCAATGGATCGTACAATGTGTGACTTGAATGATGTCACATTGTCACTGTACAATAACGACATTACTGTCATCGTCATTCACAACACAACACATCCAAAATATGTGAGAACAGCCAAGTAGTTTTGATACCTAACGTGTAAACGTTACCTAATTTGCATATGCTACCTAATTTGCATGTTACCTAATTTACATATGTTACCTTATTTGCATGTTACCTAATTTACTTAACTCTTTCAACACCAGTCAACCAGAAGTGTTTACTGCTGGGACACCGAGTTCCCAGAGACTCTTGTGTGATAGATGAAGCCAACATTTATCAAAGAAAATACCTGCTTGTAAAATATATTTGCTACTACATGTTATACACCGTTTGAAAGGTCTGATCCTATGGTTTATAAATATGAAAGTTATATTTTTCAAATTATTTAAAATAATGCATTTACAACTTAATAAAATTCGTTGTAAATAAAAAATGTATGCTAACACGTTGTTAACATCCAGATTAAGGACCAAGGAATCGAAAACTTGACGATTTTCGGCAAATATATGATTTCATAATATCCACGTACATATTTCTGTTTTATTTTCATTGTTTACGTAATTGGAAAATCATTTTAAAAAGAATTATAAATAGTTTCTGTCATCACCCATTTCCCGCTAACAGCGACTGTCCGCTCAGTAAAATGAAGAAATACCCCCGTTTTCGAGGTTTCGTATGAATAACACGTTCGTCGAAGAATGGCATATGACACATCGCTGGAAAGCTTATTCCTTCATCTACACGCTCGTAACATCGACTGTTTTTTTTCGTAGTTATAACAAGCGATTTCATTGGATTAAAATTGGTTTCTAATGACGCTTTCTTGCTGAAATCTGCTACAAGTTTCGTGATTGGTCAATTTCGAGCACGTGACCTAAGGCAGCCAATCAAATTACAGCTGTGATACCAAGCTCGTGTTCGATAAATTACAGAAGTTTGCGAAAGAATTTTGTTAAATCGTGTTATTCTGAACGTTTTGAGCAGGAAATCACGATATATATTAAAAATATGGAACTTCGTGAATGTATCGTGCTAGGTTACGAGCTGTGACAAAGATTTTTTATGCATATATTTTTGCATTAAACATCGTGTCCGAGCCGAGAATTCAAGGCGACGAAAGCCGAGATGTCATTTGACTTACATTACACGCGATCGCACGAAAAGATGGAAATAATAACTTAGATGTAAGTTTGATTACTTTTAGATATATTTTTGTTGATTTTATTTATTACTTTGTATAATATATTTAAAGATTTGTTTAAAACGTCTTTATTTTCCTCTTTGACGTGTTCGATGTGGACCCGTTGTCGAAATGTGTGTCCGAGAATTTTATTTTCAATAACATCGCGAGAAATAGTGAATAATTTTTTAATTTAACGATAAAAAATGTTAAATTGAAATGGAATATGTATTTCAGACATTGTGAAATGTGATAGATTTAATAAATGAATGACATTACAGGTAGGTCCATAAAAATATATACTATTTTGACGTGACTACGGCTTGGCCGGATAACCGGCCTGCGGTGTCTGGGGACTCGATGCTTCTTGGCCGGATAACCGGCCTACGGTGTTGAAAGAGTTAATTATGTTACCTAATTTGCATACAAGTGTAATCCATGTTTTGTTTGTTGTTGAACACCATACCAAGCAATATTGCAGCTATGGAATGGTGGTCTGTGAAAAATAAAAGCTAGACCAGACAGCATTAGAAATTGGCGCTAGTCCTGTCGTCCTTGCCAAACTGCCCAATAGTTAAGGTATCATAAGCATGATAAGGACTAGTAGAAATTTGCCATTTTTTAGGGTTTTGCTATATGCTATTATTATAAGGACTAGTGGACTAAAAATGCCAGACAACACAATAATTGACATCATGAGTATCAATTTACGCAATACTTGCACAGAATGTGCCAAATGCTTTTGCCTCAATGATCCCAATCTTGTCTCGCATTGTCTGCTTCACTGGAATGTCGTCATAACATATCGGATCTCACAGTTGGTGTATCGTCCCAGCCCTAGTATAGATACAAATTTTGAGCAGAGAAAATGCATGTCACTTTTGACTTGAGGCAATCTCCGCACACACCAAAGTAAATACAAAATGCATGATCCCCCTGTCTACTTTCATGCTACTCAGAAAAGCCATGTTTGCAGCTAAAACATTTCTGATTAGACATTTTGCCTTTACCTGTTAACATCATGGCTAAATCCACAGTTACTTTACCACTAACCAGTCCATCCTCTAAAACCCTGCTCACTTGAAACGCCTAACCTGATTACCTGTCTCCACAGACAAGAACCTCAGGCTAGTTATCCATGTTATGGGCCCAATTCCCCTGACTTCCTCCCCAAAACATGGATAAATATCCCATCACTACTACATAGTAGTTCAACCATACACCTTGGCCTAATTTTCTTACTTATCTAACTACCAGCAGTTAATTGACGTCTGCTTCCATTGACCCTAAATGACCTCTGTCTCAGACGTAACTGCCAGTCAGGCAAGAGACTTGGGCCACAAAACAATGATTTCTCCCTTGCCAGACAACTTTCCAAAAATGATCCCTACGCTTGCTCGTAACAAAGCTACCATGTTTCTTCAAGTTCTCATCAATGAAACATTGGTCCCAGAGTCCATCATTCCTAATGATATCTATGCCTGACGAAATTGAATGCAGTCTACTTGTCTGTGAACCAAACTTGAATTTTAGTACTCAGAAGATTTCCAAAACACTGCCACTGCTACTTATGAGGTGAGGTGAAATGGGGTTTAACGTCGCGTCCAAGATTATTGCACTTATATAGCAACGTGCATGTAAGTGTGTGTGTTTGTGTGGCTGCTTGTACTAGTCCGGACTGATTCTGATTTAAAGTGCTATCACACTGAGATACCATGCCGCAGTTTAACATGAATACCACACTTTACCATCTTTTAACGTCTTATGGTATGACACAGCCGGGGATCGAACCCCGGACCTTCCGCGCTCCGGGCGGACGCTCTACCACTAGACCATGGAGGCGGTATAGAATATTCACAAACACATCTTTTCAAAATAACAGTACCTATCGAACCACATTTGAAACCATTTAATCATTTATTAATAAACCTTTGCTCATTTCATTAGAGTCTTCTTAAAGGGGGAACCTTCAACACACGACTTCAAGCATTAAACTGATAACACCTATGTGGACAATAAGACTATCAAACTTCAAATAATCTTACAGAATTTTTTTTTGTCACTGGATCATCTTTTTCTTTAAAACTGTTCTTGTAAATTTAATTCTCAAAATCAATTCAAAGTGACATATATCAACTACATTTTGAGTCAAGTATATGTCACAACAAAATGTAAATATCAGCATGGCGAAGAAAAGGTTTTTATTCCAATCAGCTGACATTTGTAGGAGCTTACCACAGCAATCTCATTGACATTTTCATCCAAAACATATGATATATCATTATAGTAACCTGCTGGGCATTACATAAATCACAGGCCTACATGGAACTTTTTGGGCTACATACTTATACACCATGCCAAGAGGTCATTCCACATTGGTAAACAAGCGTGGATAGTGTTATTATCTCACCATGTCAGATGGAATATTGCTCACTGTGGCATAAAACATCATTCTTTCTTCTCATCCTTGTAGTGCATCTACTTTCAATAATAATGATGATGATGATGATGATGATGATGATGATGACATATATTTGTCAAGCACTATAGTCCATCCGTTGAAGCATGCTTTGTTTGTTTGTTGTTTAAAGCCACACTCAGCAATATTCCATCTATATGACAGCGGTCTGTAAATAATCGCGTCTGGACCAGACATCCAGTGATTGACATCATGCGCATCGATCCATGCAATTGCGATAAGATGACATGCATCAACCAAGTCTTAATTTGTCAAAAATAGCAAGTAACAAATGTTATTTTGGGATAACATTTTCTCAGTAAAGTACAGATTCACATACTTCTTTGGGGTGAGTCCCGTCCAGAGTGAGCAAGAGTGAGGCTCCTAATTGCCAGCATGGCATTGTGTCTTCAAAAGTAGCAAGATAGCACATATTCAAGTGATTCTCACTGTTTTAAAGGTGGTACTAAATCAATATTTAATAATGTCTAGATGATCTAACTAGCACCGCACTCAAGATTATTCCCTCACTAACATGCTGACCAAGCGTGTTGGTCTTGTCTCATCCATCAACCGTTGGACATTTTCAAACAAATCTACTTCGTCTGGCCTGACCATAAACATCTAACCTGTGAACTTTTTGAAATGACTGATAGAGCATCATGTTCACTTTTGGAGGGTCCTATCTTATACGGGGCTGTCCTTTGCAATGGTGAAATCTTACCCTGTGTCCTGAGTTCTTCACAGCGCAAACAACTACAAAGGATAATGGCTGATGAGAAAATGACAGCTTAATTCCTCAGGTGACAGAAACAATACCTGACTGACCCACTGTCAACTGGATTCAGTGTTTATGATCTACTTTCACTGACAACATACAGCCACACGTCGCCAGGATAAATTCCAGGAAAGCTAGACGCTGTTGTCAAGGAAGGACCCCTGGGCCTTACAGTCAAATGAAGGTTCAGTTGAACTCCCAACTGCCTTTTTGTATAAACCGAGCAACACCTTACTTCACTGCAGTACATGTTCATGAATCTATTTCCATGATTGAGTGGGGGCACGGGTGGCCAAGTCGTCTAAGGCACTGCGATTAGCTGTGAAGAGTTGCGTCCCTTGGGGGCGCCAGACACC